TCAATTTACTGGAGTTAGCCATCATGTTCTCCATTACAAAAAGTAGCTGTGCTGATGGTTTGTCTCCAGGAGGCCAGATAGATGGGCAATGACCAGAGAACTGGTGCAGTGTGACCCTCAGCGGTGGTCATTTGTATCTCTTGGCGCCGTTATCCCTTCCTGCCATCAAAGGCTGCCAAGATCAGCCAATGATGGATCCATTTCTATCTTACATTTTCTCCGTCGCTACTCAACATTTTTCTTAAAGTTCTAATAAGCACATTCCATCATGTACCACTACAGAGCCTCGCAGCTTTAAACCCAACGGGAATCTTTCCATCCCCCATGGCTGACTTATCCTACTGAAATTACTTGGTAAAGCCTGGGAGCGTCAGAGTTTCCATTACTTTATCAGTGTACCTTGTTAATGAGATAGGTTCATTTGCATACTGGTAGTACCTTTTCACCACAGGTAAGAAATTGAAACGTTCAAGGTCAATTAACTGCCAATGTTTCAAGTCGGCTTGTGGGACTGTAACCGTGAGAGATGCTGGGGAGAGGGAGCGGTCGTTCAGGGGTTCCTCTTACTCCTGATGAGAATTGATGATCCAATTTTAACCCACTTGGACCACACCGACATGTCTTCCTTGCTGTGCGCCTCTCTGGTTTGTTTTTTAAATACAGGATTATAAAGATGTCATGAAATGCCGCAGAATTGCTGGGATATTTCTGATGAAAAAACTCCCAACATAACCTCATTACCAATTTCAGATCATTAAAATTAACGAGAAAGAATAAGAAGCAAGAATTGCCAGCGTGTTCGTGGAGGTATAAGCTAATAGAGATAAAATTCTGCATGCACAACTTCCAAAGTAAGATGGTAGCTGCCTGTGGGCATCCCTCTTGCCCAAGTTTTCACTGTAAAAAAATGATAAAAATTCAGAAAGATTTGCAATTACAGCAGTTGGAGGACCCAAGATGCTCGGTTAAATCCAGGTCTACGATGACTGTCAGCTTCTGAGCCTTTGATAGACCCTGAGGAGAAAAGGAGATTGGATAGGCCAGAGGATGGAAATACTCAGCCATTCGCTGTTCCCATCTTCCACCTATGTTTTAGATATATGGTTCACTGTAAGCAGGGAGGGAGGTTGCTGCTGCAGTCTGATAGCTAAGGATTTCTGAGCTTTGTTCCCATGTGTTTCCTGGGAACTACATATTCTTACTGTCATGCCTGACAATGAGACGCCATCGTAAGTCTCTGTTCATAGCGTTTGCCTCCTTACTGGATTCTAGGTAATAGAGTGTGGAGAAACTGCTGGCTCGGATATAAAAATAATCTGATGAGCGCAGTTCCCACAGAGAGTTCAAGGAACCACTGAGATTTCTGTGGCAGAATTCTACAGAGGGTGTGCTGTCCATCTCTCAAGAACAGTTCCTGTCAGCCAGGCAGTGGTGGCACAGGCCTTTCATGCCAACACTCGGGAGGCAGAGGCAGGCCTGTGTGAATTCTGTGAGTTCGAGGCCAGCCTGGTTTAGAAGAGCGAGTTCCAGGACAGGCACAAAAGCTACACAGAGAAACCCTGTCTCGAGAAACCAAAACCAAAACCAAAACAAAAAAAAAAAAAGACAAAAATACAATTCCTGTGTAGAAGAAACTATGAGAGTCCTAGGGACAGCAGACATCAGTGTATAGCACTGGGGCACTCCAATTTCAATACAGCCCGTGTCTAAACCACAAGCTCTCTTGCTGAAGCATGAATTGCATTCTATTCTAATCTAAACAAGGTTGCTGGGATTAGGGGCCAAGACAACTCCACCCCCAAGTCACATTTATAAAAATGCTAGGTAATTGTGTGTGTATGTATATGTGTGTGGTGGGCTATGCATGGGGCATAGTGTGTATGTAGCGGTCAGAGGACATCTTCAGGTGTTGGTCCTCACCTTCCACCTTACTGAAGACAAGGTCTCTTGTCCAGTGCTGCATATACTGGGCTAGGTGTCCTGTACAAGTCTTGGCATTCTCTAGTTTCTGCCTTTAAAGTCCCGGAGCTGCAGAACTGGGCTACCCCTCCTGAATTTGTGTGGATTTGAACTCAGGCCCTCAGTTTTGTGTGTCAAGTATTTTAGTTAGTGAGCCATCTCCTCAGCCCCCAAGTCACATGCACTCTTTAAGAGCAAATACAGAGAAAATTAAAGAATAAAACCACATCAACAAAAAGAAATACATGCTATATAAATATCTTGGGTCTATGAAAGGATGGCAGTGAACTTCCTGTTTGTGGAGTAGAATTCCACTCTACATAATGGTTTGCCAAAGAAAGAAAAGAAGAGAAGGAATTGTGAAACAGTATCTACTTTTTACAGTTTAGAATTCTGGTTTAATTATGTATACATGTGTGTATCTCTGTGTGTGTTTGTGACCGTGAGTACATTGCCTACAGAGGCCAGAAGAGGGCATCATATCCCCTGGAGCTGGAATTATAGGACAGGTGGGTGTTTAGACCTAAACTTGGGTCCTCTACTGAGCTGTCTTTCCAACTCCCAAACTACCTAGCGCTAAAGACAGCACAGTGTAGTAAATATTGAGGATCACACCCTAAGGCAAGCGAGAGGTATTAAGACACTGCAATAGAGGACATTGCTATAATTTTTTAAACGCTATTTTGAGTTAGTTTTGAGGCCTTGAAAAATGACCAGTCAGTTTGCCTAGAGCAAATGATTATGTTTATGCCCCAGCCAATTCTGTTACTGAGTTCTAACCATCTGGGTTAGCATGTATCAGCCTTCCTTACAGGGAAACGTGGCATCATAGGGCAATAAACATCAGCCACAGCCCAGAATTGCATTTAGAGAAATTATTCAAATTAGTCTGTTTGCTGAAAGCTCATAAAACCTAGTTGACCTGATCCCAGCTGTCACATATAAACCCCCTTTTATAGCTCTGGTTATGCTGTCCTGGGGTGTCACTCTCCCATGGGCCCCTGTCTGGTAGTCTTCTCTTATTCAGAGTTCTAAATAACAGTCAGGACTGAGTCCTTCAACTCCCAGAGTGCCACTGTGTCCTGCCATCAATAGAATCTTTACATTGTCCAAAACAGTCACCCACAAGGTGTGTCCTTTTCATGTATTATAATGGCATGTACACCACACATCAAAGTGATATTTGGGGAGTATTTCTTTGAGTGATGCTTATATTCAAAATTTCACAAATAGCACCACAACACACACACACACACACACATATTGCTAGAATCAAACTCTATGTGAATTGATGGTACTCTGTGCTTAACATTTCAGATCTTATCCCCAAAGCCTTCAGGTGGCTGCAAAGGAATGAGATGAAAACTCAGGATATTAGTCTTGTTTGAGAAGTTACAAAATACATAGCGTATTTCTTAACTTTGGTTTTGTGTGTATGGCTGTGTTGTGCTTGCATGGATGTCTGTGCATTGCATGCACTACATGTTCTGGCCTATGGAAACCAGTAGAGGGCATTGGGTTCATTAGCTCTATAGTTACAGATAGTTGTGAGCTACCACGTGGATGCTAAGAAATAGCCTGCATCCCGTGGAAGAGCAGCCAATGCTCTTACTCTTAACCAATGAGGCACCTCTCCAGATCCTGGATATTGCATCCCAGAATGTGTGAGCTCCATTTTGTGACATTTTTTTTAACAATAATTGTGTGTGTGCATGCTTGCGAGAATGCGTGCGTGTGTGTGTGTGTGTGTGTGCGTGTGTGTATCTTGCATATTCAGTCAGTACTTTAAGAACTGAAACAATTCCCAAAGTATATTGAAGGGGAAAAATGAAACATCTTACTAAAAAAGATATGAGCACTGCTTTAACGTTTTGGTACATCTTGAAGAAAATGATGTACACCACCTCTTGCCCTTCTAATATGTGTTACACTCTCATTGTTGTCATCCAAGTGCCCAAAGGAAGCTTCTTCGTGATGTTTCAGTACCCTAGCACCCTCCCAAAAGCATATACTCTCTTCTTCAGACCTGGCAGCGGAAGGCTGGCAAACTGTCTAAGTACAGGACCGTGCTTCTTTGTCGAGTTTACAGCCTCTGTGATTTACACACTCCTACCATGACCAATTGCAAAGGTGGCAAACGTGAACATGTAGACATATTCCCTTACACGATTGCAAACCCAATCTATTCTCCCACTGCACAGAATGCTCCATCTTGTTTTATGTTATGGTTTCCTACACAGTGTCTAACCATGAATGATTTTTTTTGAATTATATTTCACACATGTTTTTCAATGTCTGTCCCTCTCATGAGACTTTTTTTTAATTAAAAAAATTATTTATTTATTGAAAATATTTTCACAAAATATGTTCTGATTACTATTTCTCTATTTCATTCCTTCCCAGGTCCTTCATCTCTCACACATTCAGCAGTTGCGTAACTGGAAGAATTTTTTTTGGAGTTATGATTAATAGGGTGTTATTTATTTATTTATTTATTTATTTATTTATTTATTTTAAATATAATTTTTTATTGAAAAAAATTTTTCCGCCTCCTCCCCGCCTCCCATTTCCCTCCCCGTCTCCCTTTTCGGAGACTTTTAACATCTTTGTTATCCAACTACTAACATTGTACCAAACTAGGTGTGTTAGCTCTGCTGACACCAAAATTTTCTCCTTTATATTTTCTCTCTGGGCCTAGACAGACCAAAAGCCACACACCATTACTCAGCTATGCTTGTGGGCAGTAAGCACCCTGGCACCAAATGTTGGCATGATCTTCCATATGAAACATTTAAAAGATATTCAATGAGATTTCCTAATTTCTCTCCAGTACCAGGAAACTTCTGATGCCTCTAAATGAACACAACCAGCATGCAGCTAACCTTGTCTACCACATTTCTGTTTTTCTATATATTAATATAATTACAAGGCCTTCTATATCCTGAAAATATTTCTGAATTCCATAAGTCTACCAGCATTTTCACTCCATTTTTTGGAATTTTAATGCACTCTTTCCCAATATTCTTCTGTTTTTGCAAAAGGAGCTGGTGGCTGGTCTCCACTTGTGTCCAACAAATACCAGTGGCTGCAGATTGACCTTGGAGAGAGGATGGAGGTCACATCGGTGGCCACCCAAGGTGGATATGGGAGCTCCAACTGGGTGACCAGCTATCTCCTGATGTTCAGTGACAGTGGAAGGAACTGGAAACAATACCGACAAGAAGACAGCATCTGGGTATGTTTTCTTCGTAAAAAATATGGACTCTGGTGTGTGTGTGTGTGGAGGTGGGTATGGAAGCAACAGTCACCCTGAAGCTTATTAATCAGTTACTTATAAAGGAGCCTTAGAACCTTCAGGGTGACTTTGACACCATTTCTCAAGGGAGAATATTCACGAGTAATTTATGAAAATACTATGAGTAATTTCCTCAGAAGGTGAAAAAATTCTATCAGGCTATTAAACAGTGTGGAAACTCAAGAAGTAAGACTTGCCTAAAAATGTTGTTTATAAGGTGACATGGTCCTTTTATATTGTCGTTGAAGCCAGTTAAAAGTATTTATTTTATTTGGTCTGATGGCTGATATTTCTGGATCTTTCTCTCTTGAAGGTAGAGACTAATAATATATGGAGCTATCTTTTCATTTATAGAGTTGTATACATATGTGCATATGTGTATGATATGTGTATGTATGATAAATAATATTACATATATCCAATTCACACCCACGCACCATCAATAAGTATGCATGATGGTATGTTTTGCCTGCTCTCTAAGACAGAAGACAGAAAAGTGGTGGGTTGTGATAAAGTGGGATATTTTGCTTTTTTTTTTTTTCCTTTCTTTTCTTGCAGTGACTGCATTTCCCTTGCTAGAGGAAGCTAAAGGAGGTTTTCCTGGTGAAAAAGAGAGATAAATTCTTTGTCAGTGTAGAAAGCATGTTTGGGCTCTTATGTGAGCTAGGGATGACACACTGCAATCAAAGGACTGGTCTCCCCCCCCCCCCCCCCCCCCCCCCCCGCTCTGGCTGAGGTGCTGGAATTGGAGAAAATGAGTAACTTAATGAAGCATCCTTAGCACACGGATAATTTGGTAGCCTATTTGGGCACACGATGATGATTTTCTTTGACCTGTCAGTGGCTGCTCTTTTCAGACTTCTTGGAATCAGTTGCACATTACAAACACATTGAAGAAATGGACTGTGATTTGCTTACCTTTGTATCTGGAAAACTCCTGGCGGTCATTAGGTGTGTGTTTATTGATGCAAACTGACCTGAGGAGAAGTGCCCATCGCCTTTTCTGTAGAGAGAACACTAGGCTGAAGGAACTTGCCTAGGAGCATTGCTTTTTAAAAATTCTCATTATCATTAGTAAATCTGCTTTAAAATCCAAAGCCAGTTGAAGCTGTGTGTGTAAGCGTGGGAAACAGAATCCCACACAACTGGGTATTGTGGGTCAGTTAATTCCAAGGGACGCCTTCAAACGCAGGCTGAAATGTATAGCAACGATGAACCAATAACACCAAAGCTTAATGAGGTATTTACTTTAACTAGACGTTTGGATTATCTTTTACTGCTTTTCTCAATTAAGAATTGGATTTTAAACTAGGTAAGTGGTGGTTATTGCCTGCCCATATTTAGTTGCTCTAATTAAAATGTATTGTTTAGGCATTGTTTTTATATTGCGAACATTGTATGTTTCTGCATATTAGCCATGGAAAAAAGTAAAATGCAGGCATTGCTATTTTTTTTGTTTAGTTCTATTGAGGAGGAGGTATTCAGGGTGAAATGGCAGCAAGTGCGACATTTTTAATCATCTAAACCACAGAAGGACAAACAGTATCACAAAACTGTTAAAGCAACACTGGCCTATCATCTAGCTATCTCTGTACCTATCTGTTTATCATCTGTCTCTAATATCCATCTTCCCCTCATTGATCTTAATTTACATTTAATATAAACACTGCTTATTTATACTTTTATACTTACATTTGTGTATTTAATTCTGCCTTTGCTGGTCACAGGCAGGCTGCCAAGCTATTCTCCTCCATAATGATTTTGTCTTTCTTCTGAACACTAATGGAACCTCATCTGAGGTTCTGTAGTTGCCAAAGCAGGGAAAGTGCGGCTGCTTTATGCCCTGGCTCTTGATATTTCCACCTGGAAGAACACAAACTTTTGCAGTTTGAAGTTTTTAATAGAAGAACAATCTTGAATGTATACACATAGTAAGGAACTTAACCTTTTGCCATTTTACAAATGCACATTTCCTAACCTGATTTCTGAGGGTTTCCTTGAGTTTTTCTAGCTGTTATGGAGTGTATACCAATTATACAAAAGTGCCAATTTCTTTTAATGGTTTTATAGTCTGTCTAGGATGATACAAATAAATCTATGAGCAAAAGTTAAGAAACACGTAAGGCATTATACAAGTGCGTGAAGGGAGAGGAAGAAAGACAAGTGTTATTGGTTTAGAAAAAAATACAATAAAACAAACCAATAAAACCTCTCAACATGTTGTGAAGCCCCAGAGTGAGAATTTCTCACTTCTCTTGTCTTCTGAAAGAACAATGCCTTCTCTTCACCTGAAAGAATTAATAAAAGGCTTTCTGCTTCTTGCAGTCATTTAGAAGAATAAGAAAATATTTTGTTTATTATCTATACAGGTGATTAGTAAAACTGTAAACTTGATAGGCATATGATACTTTTAAAAACACATTAAAACATTTCTTCAGAATAAAATTTGTGGTCTAATATCTATCAAATGCAGTTCCTCTAAATTGCTTAGCTGGACAGTACATAAATATTTGATGAAAATTTAGAAAAATATGGGCCACTAAAATTGTTCCCTTAAATTGAAGACAAAATAAAATCCCTCAGCATTTTCGGGATGTAAAGACTCTTTTCAGCTAGTGTATTGCACGTGATGAAAAAGTAAATGAAAGGTATACTTTTAACTCATTTAAGAACAATTGCAGAAATATGAAGCCAACATCTTATAAATTTTCAGTAAGGTAATGTGTACAAAAACCTATAGCCAAATTTTCCCAGGCTGTCTGTCTGTCTGTCTGTCTGTCTATCTATCTATCTATCTATCTATCTATCTATCTATCTACTTCTTTATCACCCAACTATCCTTATACATCCAATCATCCATTCATCCATCCATCCACCTATCCACATCCATCCATCTATCTATCTGTCTGTCTGTCTATCTATCTATCTATCTATCTATCTATCTATCTATCTATCTATCTTGATAAGCTCCCAAGATTCTCCTGCTAACTACAACTTCAAGGAATGGGTGGGACCAGCGTTCTAAATGGTTTTATTTAAACATGATGGTTATACATGAGAGCAGTTTTTTAGATTCATTTTTTCTATTTAAGAGAATTTTATGTATGTTTATGGGTATTTGAACATGCAAGCAGTGCCTGCAGAGGCCAGAAGAGGTTTAACATCCTCTGAAGCTAGAGTGAGAGACAATTGTAGGCCTCCTGACTGCTGGGATCTGATCTCAGATATTCTGGAAGAACAGTATGTGGTATGTGCTCTTAACTGCTGAGTCATCTCTCCAGTTCCTGAAAAATCACACCACACACACAATTTGTTTATATGTATATATGTATGTATGTATGGGTTTATGTGTACCACATGCATGCCAGAGGCTATGGAGGACAGATGAGGGCATCAGATAGATCCCTTGGAGTTGGAGTTGCAGGTGGTTGTGATACGGTATGTCGATGTTGGGAACTGAACTCAGCTCTTTTCAAGAGCTGCTCTTAACTACAGAGCTATTCCTGCACAACACAAATATATAAGTCTTAACCGACTTGATGGGTTGAGTGATGGAAATTATAAAGACACATGGACATCTTTTGCAGTTCTTTTGAGACCCACAAGCCAGAAAGTGTGTCAGTGGAGCTTCTTTTTGGAGGGATGGAGTCACCACCAACACCTAGCTCAAATGTGAAATCTTGACATTGTTAACACTATTCTCTAACCAAATAAACTAACTGACCAGGCAAGAAGAGAAGCTCCCATGATCAGGGATGCTCTTGTGGACTTTGAAAATCTTTTGCTTTTTCTCCTTCCTTCCTTCTTCCCTCCCTCCCTTTTTTGTTTCTTTATTTCATTAAAAAAACAAAAAAAAACCTCTATTTTTTTGATTTACATACCAATCCCAGTTCCCACTCTCTCCCATTCCCTTCACCCCCACTCCCATCCACTCCCCAGAGAGTTTAAGACACATTGCTTTGAGGAAGGACCTCCTTACTAGACTGAGCAAGGTATTCCTCCAAAGACAATGGGTTCCAAAAAGTCAGTTCAAGCAGTAGGGATAAACCCTTGTGCCACTGCCAGTGGCCCTGCAGTCTGCCCCAGTCATACAACTGTCATCCACATTCAGAGGGCCTAGCCTGGTCCTATCCTGGTTTCTTTCCTCTTGGTCCTATGCTGGTTTCGTTCCTGTCCAGCTGGAACTGGTGAGCTCCCATTAGCTCAGGTAGACTGTTTCAGTTGGTGTCTCCATCATGGTCTTGACCTCTTTGCTCTTATTCTCACTCCTCCCATACTTCTATTGGACTTTGGATGCTCAGCCCAATGCTGCACTGTGGATCTCTGCCTCTGCTTCCATTAGTTGCTGGATGAAGGTTCTAAAGGTGACATTTAAGATAGTCATCAATCTGACTACAGGGCAAGGCCAGATCAGGCACCCTCTTCACTATTGCTTGGGGTCATCCTTGTGGATCAATGGGAATTTCTCTAATGCCAGGGAACACATGTGCAGTCTCTGTTTACAGTCGCCAATTGTCTGACTTACGGAGTTGGCAGGGCTATCGGTCACAATGATTAAAATGGCTCCCTCAATCAAGATATTACGTTCCTTGTTCTCTGTCTCTGTCCTTCCCCCACCTCAGCCATCCCATTTCCTCATTTTCTCCTTTCCTCTTCCCTTCTCCCTTACTTCTCCCCACCCCCATGATCCCAATTTTTTCAGGCGATCTTGTCTATTTCTTCTTCCCAGGGGGATCTCTATATGTTTCTCTTAGGATTATCCTTGTTACTTATCTTCTCTGGGGTCACAAACTATAGGTTCATTACCCTATGCTTTATAGCTAGCATCCACTTATGAATGAGAACATATCATGATGCTCATTTTTCTGGGTCTGGGTTACCTCACTCACAATGTTTTTTTTTTTTTTTTTCTAGTTCTATTTATTTGCATGCAAATTTCA